CACATAACATATCGGCAAACAAACCACGACTGAGTGTTCACTGTCCAATAAACCCGAGGCCCCCGAACTGCACTGTTTATATCATCATAATACCATCTTTACCTGTTTGTGCGTGGGATTTGTACCTATTCTTTTTCCATCAGGCTTTTCTTACCTCGTCCTCTATTTTATCTGCATCGGTGGTTGGTCTGTAAGCATCCTTGTTGGGATGCAGAGCAGCGACAAACTCATAGTAGTCAATGTAACCGTCTCCATCTCTGTCGAAGATGTCTGCCACCGCAGTCATCTCCAGTTTACTGGTGGGAAACTCTGCACAGAAAGGCAACAGGATTTCACCAATCATCTAGTGACCCCCGACCAAATAAACAGTCGTTCAAACACGTCAACACCCATAACCTACTTGATGCCAGGATGCCATCAATGAACTCCTGCCGCGTGATCTTTCCATCTTGGTCTTTGTCAATGCGCCTGAAGAAGTCCATGACGCGAGACTTCTTGTGGTTCATCCAGCGCATGTACTTCTTCCTCCACACATCAAAGTCAAAGTTGGCAAACTCTCTGAGCTGAAAGTTGATAACGTATGTTAGATTTCACGTCACATCCAAAACGTAGAGGCCAAAGGTCTGAACATTAAACTAACAGAACTCTTGTAAATGTCAGAAACTGAGTTTTGATTAGACAAGAATTTAACTTAAATGTATGCTTTGACAATAATTTTAGCAGAATTCTGCTCCGTTTAAAATGTACAAACATGAAGACTACCTCCTCCAGCCTGTCCAGAGCATCGTTGAGTTTGCGCTGGCGGTCGAGAGCCAGCAGCCAAACCTGCTGCCACCTGGCGCAGAGCTGGTTGAGTCGTGGGTTTCCTCCAGAAACCTGCATGGTCGCCTGCTGCTGCTGCTGGTGTTTACCTGTAGAGGATGCACAAAAATAGTGCCCTCTTTCTGTAAATGTAATAGTATGAGTAACCCGTACATTTGTAGCACATGTCATTATCAAGGAGAGAGACAAAATAATATTTGTTCACTAAAAGTTAAACATAGGCTGACGTACGAGCTCCTCTCCTCTCAGCCAGGCTGCTGGGAGCCTCAGCTGGCTTCCTTTTGTAGGGCTTCGTCACTTTGTCAACATCCGGCTGTTTCCTCGTCATCTCCTCCATAAACATCTAAAAACAACAAATGCACTCTGTGAGTAACACAACTGCCAATGAAAAGTACAAACAGTTTGGTTTAATTCCATCTGGAGATGCATTAAAATACTGTGTTTAGCGGCCCACAAACAACAGCGCAGCCAGAACTGCGCACCTGGTGCTCGGTGATGAGTGATTTGAGTTGTGTGATGTCCTGAGGAAGTGGCTCTGTGTCTCTTTGGACCAAAGTGGTCTCAGCCCACTGTAGCCATGACAACAGCTCCTCCAGCAGGTTAGCATTGTTGAGCACCTCAGTCAGAGCCGTCTCCAGCCGCTGTTCGTGCTGTTTCGCCCATGTCAGCACCTGCACAGGAAAGGTGTTGCTGTGTAAAACTGGACTGGGGATTGCTATGAACTAAAATGAATCTATCATGGGCAGAAAGAACAATCTAATGAAGGGAAACCAGACCAACAGCTTTGATTCTACACCTCAGTCCTACTGCCTCACCTCCTCGAAACGCGCCCTGATGATGGTGATCCAGTGTTTGATGGTGGTGATGGAGTCAGGGTGACACACAGTCAGGATGGCCTCCCCCATACCAGCAGCCTTGTTGACATCCACCCTCTTTTCCTCCACTGTGCCCATGAAGTCACGATGTGTGTGCAGCAGCACCTGCAGAGTCTCCGCCTCTTCGGGGAGGACGCCGCGGAAACGAAGTGTCTGCTCCGCCTCCGAGAGCCACTCCAGAATCACCTGCACTGCTGTACGAAACTCCTCCGCCTGTCGGAGAACAGATGTTGGAAAGATGAAAGGCAAACATTTTTAAAAATGTCCTGTGGTTACATGGTTTAATCTAAGGAAATGAAAGAAGTGTTAAACTTGAAATCAGCAGTGCAGCTTCTTCGCTGACCTGTTTGAGCGCCTGCTGGAGGCGGGTCTGTTTGGTGACTGACAGGGCGCACACTGTATCCCAGCGGTTGCTGAGCTCCTGAAGCTGAACTTTGACCCATGCCGTGTCATCGCGGCCGGTCTCCATCAGATCTCGAGCTGAACGCTTCAGAGCCTGAACGTTGCCTGTTCTCTTACCCAGCTCTTTTTGGAAGGCCTGTAAGGTTTCATCATTAGGCTGTGTTATGAAGGCAGCACACTGCAGGTACCAACAGACTCAGAACTTTTTTGTGCTTATTATCCTCTTATACAGAATTAACAAGTCAGTTCAGTTTAGTGTGCACACCTTGTGTGAGTCCATGAGGTTGGACACCAGATCCAGGTCTCCATGGACGGGCTGATCCTCAGCCAGCTGTGGCTCAACTCGGTACAACCAGTCAACAAGGGCCTGGAGAGCTTCTGCAAACTGGCCTGAAAACAGCAGAGCTTCCTCCAGCTTGTGTTGTCTAGATGAGGCAAGAAAACAACAGCTGTTAATGATCATACTTTATTTTTCATATGACAATTCAGACCTGTAATGGCCTGCTGGATAAACCGGTTTCTGTTCCACTCCGTCATCCTCTTTACCTCTCCACACTCTTGCCACAGACGGTGTCCCACTTGTCACGAACTTCTCCTACCAGGTGATCCAGTTTCTGGGTGTCTGCAGGCAGCTGAGCCTTGTCCCTCATGGCCTTACCAGACCTCACTGTAGTGTCATAAACTGGCTGCTTTGATCCCAGCGCTTTCTGAAACTCCTGTAGATGAAAATACAACAAGAGAGAAATTTAGAAACAGTGAAATCATGAAAATATTCATGATATATTCTCCTACTGTACCTTGTGCTTGGCCAGTTGTACTTTGATCTTGTCTGGTTCGTTGGAGATCTCCAGCTCTGAGTCCAGTCGTTTCTCTGCTTCTTCTAGCCAGTCAGTCAGCTTCCTCCAGGCCTCATGGAACTAAAAAAAATAGTGAAACAGATTAAAGGTTTGATATTATAATACACAAAGTCATACAAACAAACTTATGTGTATTCAGCGTTAGCGTAACTATCTGTTCTGCACCTGTTTGGCTCGTTTGCGGGCCTCATCGAGGTGTCGGCCTCGGTCCAGGGATCTCTGGACCAGCTTGTCCCAGCGAGCCTGGACGCTGAGCAGCAGGTTCTTAATGAGAACAACGTCCTGCTTCAGACTGGCAAAGCGAAGCTGAGAACCAGCTTTCTCCAGGGCAAGGACCTGCTCCCTGTGGGTGTTCACCTCATTCACAAACACCTGAACAAACACAGGTGCAGAACAAGTTAGGAGAAGTGATAATCTCAGTACAATAACGTGTTAAATTATCAAAGACAACCAGACATTTAATTTGGTGTCTACCTTGTGCTCGTCAATCTGGAAGAGAACGGTGTCCAGGATGAGGCTTGGGGGCTGGGCCATGTTCAGGGTCTGCTCAGCCTGAGTCAGCCAGTTGATGGTGTCCTGCAGAGAAGTCTGGAAACCTGTTGCCAAGGCAACAGCCTCTTCCAGCTTTGCCTGCCAAGCAGAGGTCAAAGTCACTAACAAAGCAGCAACAGAACATTAGCAGAGCAGGACAAACCTCCCACTTCCTTACCCTGCGGTCGTCCATCTTGGCGTTGAGGCTGGCCCACTTGTTCTGAAGCATGGCCAGGTTCTGCTGCGTCTGCGTGGTGCCGGGTCCCGCTTCCTCTCCTCCCCGAGCCACCAGCGTGGACTCTCCCTGGTCCAGTAGGTGGTGGTACTGGTCTGCTCGCTGAGAGAGCTGAGCCTGCAGCTCCTGGAGACACAGAAGAACAAGTGTGAAATGATACTTTGCTTAAAAACAGAGCGTTGTGTTTCACTGGTTGGTTTAGAACGGAAGCTATGAAGGTTTCATAGTCACCATATGCCAAGTGTCTCTCTGTACAAACAGGCACTATGTGGAAGTTAATACCCTGAGCATTTCTCAAAACCTTGCTAGCAACAACTTTTATGCACTCTTAAAACCTGTTATTGAAATGACAACAATACCTGTTGCTGTCCTAACACCGAATCAGTTACTCACTGTAGGCACATTTACACAGGATTTGTTTGTGATTTATGATGGTGAACCATTCCAATAAACACATCTACACCATCTACTGTTTTTTTCCACCAACTAATTTTTTTGGCAACGGAGAAATTTTGTTGCCAGATGGCCAAAATAATGTGCAGCCGTGTTAATGAGCTGAATGTTAAAATGCTCTTCTCCTTGCATTAAGTTCTTATTAGTGTTAAGAGGCCACACCTATAAATTCTCTCATTCTAGGCTCCAGGTTCTGTATTGTGCACGATACTCTGGGTATAAATGTGTATGTGACTCCCTGTTACCATGTGTTGCTGTAGCTGCTCCCTGGCAGTTTCGGGGAGACCGCCTGTTGGTTTGGCAGCAGACAGCTGGCTCTCAGTCCTCCTCAGCCACTGGAGAAACTCCTCCAACTCACCATGGAAACCTTCAGCCTATAGGAGGAGCCCATGAGGGAGGAGGGCAAAGGCATCAGCTAATTATATTAACAGAAATATTACTTTATAGTTTTGATACTAGTGTAATATACTGTTGCTGTTAGTACTATTTTTAATCATAATGCTACTAGTGATATAGCAACACTGCCACCATTACTGCAACCATGGCTGCTAATAAACTTAATACTTTTAAAAGTATAATGTTCATAATAAAGGTATATCAACTATAATAACTGTATAATCACAGAAACTACTACAAGTTTTTTACTAAACTGTCACCAGAATGTATCACATGACAACTGGACAAACTCCATTTGCTGCTAAATGGACCTTCTTCTGGTGACACTGTTTTGGCAACTACTGCTTCCAAGGCCAAGAATAAAATTTTAATGTCAATTCACAGGTTTTATGTCCAGGAAAGAAGAGTAAAGTCAAAACTCTGTGTGAAAAACTGTGTGAAATGTTTACAACAGTTTGTTTCTTTGCTTCCCTATTCTGAAGACCGGGTTGTTATTTTAATTCAACAGGGTACAGTTTTTCTGTACAGTACCTGGTGGAGGGCGGCCTCCAGTAGTTTCTGTCGCTCCTGGGTCTTGAGCAATAGACTCTCCCAGCTCTGGTTGAGCTGATCCAGATGATCCCTCAGGTGGCTGGCCTCGTCGCCAGGAGAGGACTCCAGCAGCTCAGTGGCAGCACTGTTCACAGTCTCCACGGTGGCGTGATGGGACAGCACATCATTACGCAAAACCTGGCAAAAGAAGTTAATTACAATGAACTGGTGAGATGGAATGGTGAGATGCAGACAGCAGTACACAGGAGGCCAACATTTATGATGTATGGCTCTCCAAAAAGAACAAAAGAAAGATTCATATGCACCAAAAAAGCCTCAAGCCAAAAACATGTTCATTTACAATATCAACCTGCCTAGGAAGAATGAGAAATAAGGAACAAAGATGACAAATCTAAGTTTGTACTGAATGCAAACGTACGTGGTGTTTAGCCAGCTCGATTTCGATGGCCTTGGGGTCAGAGCTAACAGGTCGCTGTGTGTCCAGGGTGGTGTGTGTGTGGTTCAGCCAGGCCTGAAGCTCAGACAGGGCATGCTGGAACTGACCCAGAGCCAGCAGGGCAGCCTCCAGCTTGTGCTGTGGTGGAGCAGAGTTCAGGCTTAAAAATAGGAACTCAAATATTTGGACTGTTTTGAGGAGCAGCCTCAGAATCCTACAGCATACCAACAAAGACCAACATCATCAACTTCCCAAGGGAAACAGTGAAGAACAAGGTTAGTCACAGAATAATACCATTAGAATGGTTGACGCTTCAGTATGTTACTCAGGGACAACTGTGCCAAACTGTGGTTTTATTACCTGTCTCTGGGTGATTTTATCCCCCAGGTTGTCCCAGAGGTGTCGGAGCTCAGTCAGCGGTTCCTTGATCATATCTCTATCTGTCTGGTCTGATACTTTCTTTAAGAGCAGCTCCCCCTGGTGGCACAGCTTCTCCATGTCAATCTGCTGCTGGTAAACCTCCACCTTGTACTGCTGCTCAGCGTGAATGGAAGGATGAGAGGAGGAGTGTGGTAAAGAAAACAGACACATCTTACTACTTCTTGTGCCAAATAACCCCGTCGTTTCCAAAATATAGTTTGATTTAAAAATATTTTACAGCGAATCTTGCAACACTAACTCACCACCTCAGATATTTCACAACCTCAAAAAGTGCTAACAGTAATAGGATATTTTTCATTCTAGACTGAAAAATGTTTGTGTAAAATGTGCTCATGAGCGGCCAATTAGACACTGAAGAGCAAAAAATACAACTCTCATGCCAACCTTGAGCTCTTCAATCTGCTGTTTGACAGTTCCCAGGTCAGTTCCCACTGCTGACATTTCACAGAGTTTGATCACTGCGTTGTCCAGATAGTCAAACATGGACTGCAAATAAATAAAAATAAAAAATAAAAAAAATCAGGAGCTGCACCAGCAGGTTTTAAAATGAGCTCAACCGACATTGCTTAGAAAAGAGAATGTAAATCTAATAGTGTCAACATGTCAACATCTGGAGCCACAAAAAATGTTATCAGTCAACTTGACCTAAAGAAAAAGAAGCAGTTAACTATATACAGACCTGCAGCGCATCCTGATACTGCACAGAGGCCGTCATTGCCTCCTCCAGTCTCTCCATCCTTTCTCTCCAGGTTCGGTTCAAGCCCTCCCAGGCAACGTTCATCTGAGAGGACAAACAGGAAGACAGAGGTATTACTGGTCAACATGTAGTGGTGCTCTACAAATCAAAATTATTTTCTCACTTCAGATACAGATTATGCCCCTCTGCACTTCTATCTAATTCACTTTAGACCCCTGACATGTTATTGATTTCTCACCTCATCAATGGTCTTCTTGACCTCAGGTTTCTCCGTTTCTCCACAGGCAAAGATGAGGTCAGCCCCGAGGGTTCTGACAAACTCCAGCTCCTCTCTCAAGCCGTCCGTCTCTGCCTTAATGGCCTAATACAGGAACAGAGGGACATCACAATGGGTCATTTAGGATAAAAAAAAAACTGCACTGCTATTTATCTGCTCCCTCTGTGTTGTTCACCATGATGCAACAGCTATCTGGATATGTAATGTGAAATCAATGCACCTCAGCAGCCTCAATCTGTTGCTTGATGAGCGAGGGGTCCACACCAGGGTCCTCCAGCTCTCTCACAATATCCTGGGAGTCTCGGAGCGTGCTCATTAGCGCTGCCACGTCGGCCCAGAACTTCCCAGCCAGGTCTAGAACGTCATTCAGTTTCCCTTCCCTGTCCTCCGCCCGCTGCCGGATCTCATCCCACAGAGAACGAAGGCGCAGGAGGCGGGAACGAACGGCTGGAGGAGAGAGAGAGAGCAAAGTCTGGTTTTAAATTGATCAGTAAAAACAGCTAGTGAGATCACACAAGGGAATGCTTCGTGGTCATTCTTTAGCAGGGTAGATCATTTTAACAAGAGTGATAATGTTTTCTTTGTTGAATCTGCCATCTAGCATCCAGTCCTGGTTAGTGAAGCTGTTCATCAGTCCACTCCCAGTAATGCTGCACAGTGGACCATTCATTGTCAAGTCCTTTGTGGGGTAGTTTAACAAAGACGTGTGTGTTTTGTTTCATAATGTGGTGGCTTTGGAGGAAATACGCAGAACCATAACACAAGGACACTGCTGTCCTTTTTACATTTACCTCTCCCTGAACTTCTTATTTTATTTGGTCTAATGTTTTTTTTCTTCAGTATGTCCTGAATATCAGTCTGTATAGAGTCGGATACACCCACACACAACTTAATAATCCCTTTGTCTCATTTTGTTAATATCTAAATGTTATCTGGCCGTCATTCACATCCCAGCGACTCACCCTGAGCGGCAGGATCATCGTGAGCAGCTCGTCCGATGAGCTCCTCTCCTCGGGCACAGAGGGCGGAGAAGCTGGGCAGCAGTTTGTCCAGCTCCAGCCCCTGGGCTCGGTGCTCCGCGAGCTGCTCCCTGATCTTCTCCCCCTCTGCTGCCACGGGCCAGCCGCAGCCGCTGCACCGCCCCCTCCAGGGTCTCCAACAGGGGGTCCATCTTGTCATGAAACTAAGGATGAAGGTGGAAAAAATGTTATGAGGAGGAGGAGAGAGTGTGCTGAGGTTGGGTTTTTGATATCTTAGTGACATTTGATGCAGTCTGCCATCTGTGGCAGACTGCATCAAATGTTAGGCTTTTAAAAATAACAGATTCCAGTAATAAGCAAAATTTCCAATTAAAAAGCTGATAGGTTTTTATGTGATATCTCAGGACTTCAACATGCCATCCAGATTGTGCAACTCTGACAAAGGTGGATCTGCCACAGAGGAGGGGGCTATTAACACAGCCGAATCCACTCTAAAGGACTCAGGACACATATTGGACAAGAGAGCACAAATGGCACAATTTGTGCTGAGTTACTTTTTTACATCTAAGGGAAATTAAACTGTGTGATCACTACATAACACACAAATCCCATCTAGTCACAAGGGAAATAATTTTGTGATACAAAGGGCAAAGCCTAGTTGTGAATCAAGCCCAGATGTAGACTAAAACCAGTATTACTGGAAATGTCTCAGTTTACAGTCCTACAGAAAAGGCACAGTTCCTAACAGATCTAGTTCAGTCATGTGGTCACTCAGGCTGGGCAGACATGACTGGAATCAGTGTTTAGATCAATACAATCATGGCTGAATCCAACATGATGAAGTCAAGTGAAAGCAGTAATACATTTTTTACAATCCAATTTAGAAAAATTAAAACGTGTTTGTCTGGTGAGATTAGGGCTTCATTAGTAACTGACTGATACAAGGTCAGTACATTAGCAGAGTCAAATCTCGTTAGTCGACCACATTGTGCGGCGTAACCACAACCTGAGTGCCTGTTTGCTGATGTCAGTCAGCGGTCTTACCTCTAAAAGCTGGGTGATTGCAGTGAGCAGTGACCATGGAGAAAGTGGTGGTGGTGGTGGTGGTGGGGCAACACATACAGCACATCCACAGTGAACAAGGGATGGGGTGGAAGAGGGAACGGGTTGCAACGGTGAGGGGTGGTGAACACGATTAGATTGAAGTTAAAGGATGAGGGAGGAGAGACAAGGAGGTGGTTGGTTTAGGGTGGAGTGAGGGACAAGAAGTGCAGGTGGAGGAAAAGAAGGAGCAATGCACAGATTGATTTAAAGAGGACGGAGGGTGGAGAAACAATACAATGAGTTAAATCAGAGACGTGCATACTGTACAAAAATTCGGGCAATCCTGACGCCTGTCATATCAGTGATTCGATGCTTCAGAGTTACAAAATGAAGATTAAGGAAAAAAAAAAAACTAGCACAAAAAAAAAAGACATGACGTGATAAGTTAAGAGTTTGGATGACAGATTTTGTTACAGGTCATTTTTTCCTGAACAACAGTTTCTTGTGAAACAAGACTGAACAGTGCTATATGTCTCTTTCTGATATAAAAAGTTAAAACTAAAATACACAAAGAAATTAGCTCACAAAACGACAAATGACAGTGAAACTAAACCAAACTTGTGGTACTGCACAACAAATATTTAATGAAGAGCAAACAGAGAAAAACACTGACATAAACCTCATGCTGTTTAGTAATCACATCATTCTCACAGCTACAAACAGGCCTGGGGACAAACATCTTTTACAAATAATTTTTCTGCACTGAGAAGCAAATGGATTTAATTTGGTCAATTTATAAACAAAATGTAATTTAAGTCTGGAGCTGCAAACAGACTAAATAATAGGATTGATTAGACCCAGGTCTGCAGTTATCACAGAGCTTCTGAAACCGAGCAGAAAAACAGCGCCCACTGTGACGTACCTGTGCAGACTGGGAAACCGCCTCGTCCAACGCAGTAGCACGACCTTTCACCTCCCCTTTGATGGCCAGGTAGCGTCTCTCAGCCTCAGTGTAGCGCTGCGTCACCTTCGCCCCCTCCTGGAGGCTGAGCTCGGCCAACTGGGGTCCAATCTTCAGCAGCTTGTCAATGTGGGGCTTGTGCTCTGCGATCGACTCCCTGAGCAGCTGGAGAGGAAAGTCAGAAAGTGGAAATGAAGCAGACATTCTAGTTGGTGACCACAATGAGAGGAAACCTAAAACAGAAAAGTGCCACAGAGATGATAATACTCTTACCCTCATCTGGTCTTGTTGTAGTCGGAGAGTGTCTGTGTCTATGGCTGGTGGCGGCAGCTGGGTGATGAGAGTTTCAGTCTCGCCCAGCCACGGCTCAAGTTCCTCACAGGTTTCCCAGAACCGAGCCACCAGAACCTGAGCCTGCTCCAGAGCTGAGAACCGCTCACTGTGGCTCTGACTCACTGCATCGTATCGAGCGCTCAGAGAGTCTGTCTTTATCTGGAGAAGTTCAAGAAGACATTCATACACTTTCTACAGATGACAAGCAGTGTGTTCCTGCACATTCATACACGTTCTACAGATGACAAGCAGTGTGTTCCTCACTTTCCTTTTAATTCTCCCATTATCCATAAGTAACTCACCATCAGTGCATCCTTCTGGGCATCACTGCAAGCTTCCAGGATGTCGTCTCTGGTGCCGAGGAGCTGATCCACAGCGTCTCTGTGTCGAATGATGTCGATGTTGAAAGCCCTCTGCACCTGCAGCTGGGCCACGGTCACATCCGGCTCCAGGCTCAGAGGCCCCAGAGACGTCAACTTACGCTCTGTCTCCCCCACCCAGGCCAGCTCCGCATCCACTGCCTCCTCATACTGAAGGAAGGAGATAATGTTCATATTCAGTAAACATATTCAGTACAGACAAACAGACAAATTTAATGCAGGTTTAAAATAACCACGTGGGTTTACACAAGCTCGCAGCACCTGTTGTGACCTCTGGATGGCGGCCTGTACCAGCTGCACGCGCTGGGTGATGGTTTCTTCAGCCTGGCGATAACGCTGGTTGGCATCGGCAACCAGACGGTCCAGGCCTTCACGGGCTCGCCACGGCACCAGATCCAGCAGTGCGCTGCCCACCTCATTTACTGTGTCCAGCACCAGTCGCTTCTCTGCTGATACTTTCTTCAGCTCCTGCAACAGTGAAAGTGAAGGATTACTTTAAGAAGCAAAAGCTAAAATCAGTGGAAAACATGTTTAAATAGACATTTTAAATACAACTTCACACTGTATATTAATACGCAATTTAACTGACTAAATGGCGTCAGATGTGTCTCAGTTTTCTGTGGCGGCTGAGGTTGCTTTACTTTTCAAGTGTGGAAGCCTGAAAGCACATTTAATGGTAAATGCTGAAAATGTCATTATGGGGTGAAAAAAGTGGAGGCAAAAAGAAATTAAATTGCAATGATCCTTTCAATAGCTTTTACACACTGTTCCCAGAAATCAGTGTTTCTATGGTAACTCAGCCGTGATACTAGGCTAAAAATGTCATCACAAACACAGGTTGATGTGAAATTTAGGTGCTCTTCTCAAACAACTCAGACAGCATGTACCTTTTTATATTGAAAGAAAAACATATTTAAAATATGCAAAATGTGGATGAGCAGCGAAGCACAGTAGCTTCCATATTACAGAACCAGTTTTGAACTGTTTTTAAACAAAAGAGGTATTTAAGGGTTGCATCCGAGCACCAAAGAAACAACTGTAACCATCTCCCTCTTGCACATGCACACACGTTTCCCATTTTACCCCACCCACCTTCTGTCTCTCCTGGTAGGCAGGCGCTGCATCCGGCTCCACCCTGTTAAGCTCTGCCTCCACGCCGTCCAGCCACTGGTTGAGGTCATCATGCGCGCTGGCGAATCGTGTGGCGAGCTGCAGGGCCTGCTCCAGGGTGCGGAGGGCTTTGCTGCTACCAGCTGTCATCTCAGCATAGCGAGACTTGATGCCATCCAGCTTCTCCTGGATGAGGAGAACCTCCTCACCTGCAGGAGGATACGTGTCAATTTGAACAAGCACAGACAGGGAAAGTCCTGATATTTTGATGATCCTTATGATGCCTGTAAATAAAGACGCTTATTTCTACTTCTTGAATTTACTCTTTCGATTTAAGTGTGTTTTGCCAAAAGATCAAGAAGGTCAAACTTAACCAGAGTCTTACATTATTTCATAAAACCCGTACAACACATACTCATTCTGTAAAATCTGACAGTAGTGTGCTGACAGCTCAGCACGGCTCTTAACACCACAACATTTGTCTAACCCTCTAAATATGACAGTACACAAACAGAGGGTATTTAAGGGTTAGACCAACAATCAACTCTAATAGTGCTACAGGGAGCGTGGCTAATATCATGATGTGCGACGCACACCAGATGCCACAGCTTGGTTCACCACTGGTATAAAAATGTGTGGTTTGGATGTGAATCTAAAACAGTGTTTCCGTCTAATGCGTTTCTCTCACTGAGCCTGGTCTTTCTGTGTCTGTGTAGAGACACCGAGGCCTTCAGACAACAAAAGGCTGATTGATTAAAGACAGTGTTTAACAACTTTTTTATTAAGGGTATTAAAAACGTGGGTTAATAAACATAGAGAAGTTTAAGAGCATGAGATCACCTGTGGTCTGTTTGAGTAAAGCTTGTCCATTCTTGATGGCCTGGTCCACCGTCTTCTTCCTGCTCAAGATTTCTTCATTTAGAGACTGAGGGAGGAGAGAGAGTTAACATAAAACATAAAATAAAAACATTTTTTCATTGTGCCTCGACACCCCAAACTCTCAAATTGGGTCGAAATAATAAAACTGCACCAGTTTTTCAAATGTGTTCTTTAGAGCCATAATACATGAGCACATATTAGTAGTGCAGAATCTCTGTGAGCGGTTCGTCTATATACGGCGGTCCCAGCAGACAGTTTCTCCAATTTAATACAGAAAACTTGTGCTGAGTTTTCAGTGCTTGAATCAGGACATCAGTACATTCTGCAATAAACGAAGTCAAACCTGGATTTATTTGTGGTTTGTCAAGCTGATCTAACTATTGTCATTTAATGCCTATGAGGCAAAAAAAAGTGTATGACTACAATATTTATATACTATATGCTTTTTTTGTTGTACGGCTCTCGCAAACAACAGTTCTCATGAGCACTTTATTGGCATTCAGGCGATGAGGTCGTACCAGAGTGTGTTTGTGCTGCTCGGTCAGCAGCTGAGGCTGGTAGCTCTGGACGGAGACCTGAGCCAGTCTCTGAGCCACCTCTGCCAGCCAGTTCAGCACCTCAACCTCCTCCTCCCCAAACAGCTGAGCGTTTGCCAGCGCCTGCTCCAGCAGAGCCGCCCGCCTGGAGCACCAGTCGGCGAGCTCCGAGTGACCCGACCTCACCGTCCCCACACGCTCACTTAACCAACTGCGATCAGCTGCACAGCTGAGTGGGGTCAGAGATTGGCCAAGGGACTCGAGGTGCTCAACCTCTGGTTCTCGTGAGGACACATTCTCTTGGAGCGCCTGGGAAGTACGTGAGGGTTTTTGTTTGATTGTGGGTGTGTGTGTGTGTGTGTGTGTGTGTGTGAGATGGGAAGGTGAAGGAAGTGAGGAAAGAACAACAGAAAAACAGATGATGACAAAATAAGCATAAAAATGACAAATCAAACAGGAAATCATAAACACCAATCATGACTGCGTGAAGTAACTTAAAGTAACAAAACTTAAAAAAAAAAAACTTGATGAACAAAGCAAGAATTGAATTTGTGAGATGAGCTGGGTTGTAAATTCAAGCTTGTGGTTCTTATGCTTTTTGTTTCTCTCAGCATCTTTTCACTAGGTTAGTTACACTGAACTATAATAAAATCCAAGTTAGTATCCATTAGGACGCGGTCTCTGTAACCATGGGGCCAAACGGTACCTTGTGCTTGATGATCTGCTGGGTGATCTTGGCCGTCTGGGTTCCCATGGGCTCAGCGGAGCTCAGGCGTCTCTCGGTGGTGCTCAGCCATTCGCCCAGCGGCTCCAGGGCCTCGTGGAACTGAAGAGCCAAAACCCGCAGCTCTTCCAGCTGCCGCTGCCTGAGAGCCGAGGGGAGGGGGTTTTATTGGTATTTTATTGCTTTCACATATTAATTTTTCATGCTTCATTGCTTGACTTGGACTTTATTTTGTCATACACCTATCAACCTTTTTTTAATAAACACTTCATAAAATTTTTATACTATTAAATTTGAAATGCTTTCCATAAAGAGATCAACAGAAAATGGATTATTAAGTGTTGGAGGTAGAAAAAGGGAGGTTTTGTAAAGTGGTGAGAAACCTTTTTGTGTGACTTTGTGTGTTCATATTTCTGTTCAAACACTAGACAAAGTTAATAAATCCCATAAACGTGACTGACAACTTCACACCGTGCCTTACAGTAAGATCTCTGGCATGAACTTATATTATGACAGTATGTTGTCACGATCAGACGTCACTGAGATAGGAAGCCTCATCACCCCATATTTGTTAGGGTGTTTTCCCCAAAAGAAACCCTACATTCCCTGGTGAACCTTAGGGCCTCTGAAATCATCGGTAGGCCACAGAAACCAGTAGTAATGATACTGTCCTTTCTTTAATTACAGCAGTGTTGAACTGAGTCACCTAGAGACGAAACAAGAAAACGAGAAGTAACCACAAGACAAATACTTGAGGCACACCACTGACTTCTTTCCCAAACCAAGAAAAATCTAACTTCTTGTTTTCTAGATAATTTGCCGTATACATAAAATGAACTGATTGATACTATTTCTGAAGTGTTAAGAATCACAGAGATACGCTAACTGGAATCCCAAAAAAGTCAGAGGCATCTACACGTGCTGAGTTCCACAGTTTCTCAGTGAGCAGGGAGGTCAGAGATTAAACTGAAGACCATGAGGCGAGTGGATCAGAGTGGATCATTGGCTGACACACCACCATGTATTGCAGAGAAGACCTACCTGGCGCTGGCCTTGTCCAGCAGGTCAGTCCATCTCTCTGCCAGACCCCGGAGCTGAGTCTGGATCTTGTCTCGGTCCTGGGTGTCGGCTGTGGCTGCGATCCTCTCGCCCTCAACACTGATCATCTCCACTGTTGGCCGGCGGTCATCTAACAACCTCTGGAGCAGCTGGAGGAAGAGAAATACACAGTTACTGGTTGAATTTGTACATAGGAGTGCCCTTTAGTGTACTCCTGTAAACTGAGATGTAGTCCTAATATTTAGACTAACACAATAACAAAATCTCAAACTGCTGCTTTAAAAACAGACCATTAATTTAAATTTACATTTGTGAAGCTAGTTAAAAGCATGAGACCACAGGATGCACTTAGAATAGTTGACTGAGTGTACACTAACTCAATTTGACAGAAATAATTGGTTTTCTGTTAACATGTTCCATAATCAATGCAAACTGAAAAACCGATGATGCTTGCAAAAGGGAAGACTGTTTACACCAGTGAAAATAACTACGTCTCTGAAACTGCAGAAGAAAACTTGTTTGGTTCAACACCTAGAATCCACTTCTCCTCACTTTACTTTGTTGTTTTAGCCCAGCGGTGACACCACTCTCCGTCACAGATGTAAACACATGTGACTGAGTGCTGGCTGAGACTACAGCGCTCTTATGTGCACAAAAACAGGAAGTGTATGCTGGATAAAAAGGGAAAAGCGTGTCACTGTGTGTATCTGAAAACAATACAAGTCCACCTTGCGTGTGTGTCTGTTTGTATGCAAGGCAGACGGATGGTTGACTGTGTGTGTGTTTGTCATTCAAATATTTATTGTTTGCAGTTTAAAGACATGGAGGACATCTGAATGTCAATAACATGTCAATGAACCTGTCTGATAAGCAACAGAATTGTTTTTTATAATGATAATCTAGAATTGAGGAAATTCAGATTCACTCTAATTTACAGACAGAAGCTGGCAGGACACTTCAAAGAGAGAGGAGCAGCATGCGCTCAGTGGTGATCATTACTTCAAATCCCCATAATGGAAAATGTGAGCAGATACTCCTCATGAAAATGTCCTCTTGATGAGCCGAAGACAGATAATCAACACTGCTTTAATAGTTACATCTCTCTGTTCTGTACCAATAATGTTTCATTTGTTTCTTTTATCTAAAAAGAATAATTTATTTGCTGCACCCTTCTTCATTTCGCACCTTTTGTTCCTGGATCTGAGCTTTGACAACACGGTACTCGGCAGAGGGAGGCTTCTGATTGGCCACCAGCTCCTCTGTGTCATTCAGCCAGCTTAGCAGCGGCTCCAGGGCATCCTGGAATTTCCCACAGTGCAACAGGGCCTCCTGTAGCTGGGCAATCCGCTCTGCCACCTGAGGACATGAGAGACGTCTGTGAGCAGGGAAGCAGTGTTAAAGTAAATGTTATTTAGGTCTACACACACACAACAGATTTCACAAAAATGAATCAAATGGGCAGTTCAGTCCCCTGCATTATGTGTATTTTATTGACCTGATAAAAACCTTTCATCTAATATCTCAAAACATGACACTAGGTTGTTACAAGTCTTTGCGCCAATAAATGTATTGAGTAATGATTGTCACTGTGCAAAATAGAAGCAGAAATAGCAATCCTCCACATTTATGGCAAACACATGTTTGACCTTTCTTGGATACAGGCCAACTTTAGGTAGGTAGGTAGGCTTATTGGTCCCACAGTGGGGAAGTTCCAGTGTTCCAGCAGCAGTAAAGGACAAAACAACATGACACCATAAGAATAAACACCCCACACATATCTTGATGATGTATGCAACTTTCTTACTGCTTGTTTTGATTTAGAAAAAAAGTGGTAGAGAAAATAATAGAGAGATCATATCTGTTAATGGTAAATGACTGAAACTGACATATATCTCCTACATATGTCAGATTGTGCCTTAAGCTGTGTTTACACTATCAAAACCTAACAAGCACTGTACTTCCCTTAACCATCACCAAGCGTAGCCTCTGGGGTTGACACAGACCGACCTGCTTTGTTTTTCCACTGTATTATCTCTGTCGGTCTCTGTTTAGAGGGGGGAGGGGCTGCTCCTCTCTCGCGTATGCAGTCAACTGTGTGTTTATACATAGTGCTTTTAATACTTATGCTTGAGGTGTGAAGATGTGAACATTTAACCAATCACCGGCGGCTGCGCTGCATGCACCCACCCCTTCCCGGTACTTTATTTAAATACTACCCCCTGAGAGGTGCTGAAATTTAGCTCCCTCCAAAGCGGGTGCGTCATAGTGAAATCGAATGCAGAACCTGTGACAAGCGTTACTCAGCACGATATGTTTTGGTAGGCTCCTATAATAAGAAAAAAAAAAAAAACCTTTTGTAGCCCAAATTGCACACTAAAGCTTTGGTTTGAAGTTTGAGTTTAGAAATGTACAGTAAATGTGGGGTGTTAAAAATAAAAAAAGTCTTCTGTACTTTCCCAAAAAAGTCAGACTACCCTGCCCCAGGCATAAACTGAAGAACATGTAAGCCAACCTCTCCATATTAAACGATGTTTGTACAGTTCCTAAAAGCAGTGTCTGAGGGTCATATGTCATGACACAAAAAAAACAACAGAGGCGCTGCTGAGGGTTCAGGCTTTTGATTTCATCACCAGCAGCAGCATCACTTAGGCTAATGCTGTCACAGACCTGGCTGCCAGCTGAACACAACTCCGGCATATGAACTGTTGTTTCCGGACACTTCTACCAGATGACTGACATAAAACCAAAAGCTCGAAACTGGCAGGAAGTATAATAACACCGCTCTTATGTTTTATATATGAGTGGACCTCCAGGTTTCACACACGAGTCGTACCCGCTTGTTTAGTGAGTTCCATCCGAGGTTGGTTGTTTCCAGGTCGTGCTCCAGTGCCTGGGTGTCAGTGTGTTTGGCGGCACTCTGGATCAGACCTTGACCCACTGCGTTGACGTGCTGCAGCTTCGGTTGAATGCTGTCCACCTGCTCTCTCTCTACAGCCTGGGAGAAGAGAAGAGAGGGATGTCAGTGGATCGTTAATGAATGAATAAAAAAGAAAAGAGTACAACTACGCATGTGGACAACATGCCAGTTTAAGTTGCTTATTTGAAACCACAGTTTATGAGTATAGCAGTCTGTGGTCAAAAATACACAATGCATTCAATCTACATGATGACAAATGGAGCTGTCCCACATTATGTGCCCACATATAAGAAACAAGTGAGCATAAGGAGATGAAAGACAGAAAGAGGGATGTGCAGAGAGGAGAGAAGACAGAAAGGAAACCGGAGAAACGAGGGTGGAGGTAGGAGGAAAAAAAGAGGAGGAGGGGGTGGGGGATTACAGGGATTAGAGAGTTCGACGAAAGAGGGGCTGACTGGAAAAGGCTGAGTCGACAACACACCCACACACACGGTAGGGTACAATAAGACACTTGCATAGGTGCGCACAACTTTCACTTACACATACCCACATTTACACAAAAGCAGACACAGACTAACACATTTATAGCAAATGCATGCACAACTTCACCTGTCTGGCCACATTAGTCACACACATGTCACAGTGGAGGGCTGGAGCCATCTTGTGATGACAACAGAGGCAGCCACCCGACCCTAAAGACAACCAGACCTGACTAACTCTGTGCCATGATTGCATCCAAACATCAAGCTCTGGTCCATTGCCCCAGTTGAGTCGTTGGGTACAGTAGAATTTAGAGGACTGAAGTAAGTGCAGCATTATATTTATCTGTATTTCACTCAAAAGATTATTATACAACCATACAAATCATCATTCCACAATGTAACTAGCATCAGGTACATCCTTTTCATTTGGTTGTCTCCAGGACAAAATAACATCTAACCGGGTCTGTGGCAGAGTCACAGGGGGGGGCTGCTGCCCTAGAAACGTCCTGACATTCAGAGTAGGCCCACAGAGGGAGAATTAGTTGGTGGTCTGTGATGATGTGGCAGCAAAACCCCAATGGCCAGACAAAGAAACATACAAATAACCCGACACACACATACGGTACACCTCACACACCAGATTTTGGTAAATCCATGACCTGGAGGAAAATACTGTAGCTGGTGTGATAATAGGGAGCGGAGAAAGTGAGACAAGAGGCAAAATGTGAAAATGAAGGTTTAGCGTGGCCTGGGGGAGAATAAAGCTGTAACAGTTGTAATCCAAAGTGGAAGCATCCAAAAATAAACAGCTCTTTCACCTAAAATTTAAAGATGTATTTGTGTTACATCACAACAGTGACACTGTCCTCCTCCATCCTTCATTATACCTCTCAGACAACATCCAATAAACAGCCAGCTAACAGATCAGAGGTGGATCTGAAAGGAGACCTTTGGACACAAACTGAATCAGTGTTCAATTTCACCACAAAAATGATGCAAAATCTAAATATTAGCGGGATCAGTGTGCATATCTCAGAAGTAAAATATTTAGGTTATATTTAGGTACAGAATGTGAAATGTGTGAGTTAACACTGACTTTGTCAAAGTGCTAATTCTCAGATGGTTTCGGATTAATTCACCATGCTTGTACAAACAAAGTCTAAAAGAAGGATTTAAATTGTTTTCAAATCTGAGGGCTTTTCTTCCATCAGAGCACATTTGTCTTTAAAAGCTTTCAGATTTGGATTTATGACGTGTTGAGGATGTTTACAGACCTACAAACAGGGCTGCAGACGGGCTGAAGTGGCTGAGCTGGAACGTTTCTCTGAGTCTCTGCACTGGGTCATAATCAAAGGCTTTACAGGTTTCTGCTCATCTGGTTTAAATATGGCATCAAACTACAGGTTCTCCATGCCAAGGCTTTGCGCGTTTGTGTGTGTGTGTGTGTGTGTGGTGCAAAAGGGTAAATGTGGACAATGTGTTTGAAAAGAAGTGTTGTGCAGGTATGAATCCTTGTGCACAATTAAATATGAATGAGCAGTTTGTGTGTGTTCCTGTCAGTCTGAGCAGCTGTGCTGTGGTGACGGGCGTCATAGCTGCTTGGAACAGGAAGTCTGTCGGCCAGAACAACAATGACTGTAGCCATGACCCACTCCACCCTATGGCTTATCCTGGTGTGTGTGTTTGTGTGAGTGATAGAGGGGAACTGAAAAGGGAAAAAACAGGGCAAGTACAGCCATTCATCATCTAAACACACATCGGGATGTGTTATAGGTTGTGTGTGCTCATATTTGTGCCCATCGTTCCTCTTTAGTCAATATCTTTGTGAGTTTTCTCTTTCTGTCCGAGCCACCCGCTCCATCTTTCGCTCGCCACCTCACAGTGGTTGAATCCACGAAACCAGAGCTCTGGAAAACGTCCCGCATACTTGTCATTCTTTGCTACCTCGGTCAGCAACACACACACTCTCTCTCTCTCTTAACTGAGCTAACTTAATCACCACCATACTTGTCATCCCTCTCCCTGCTCCTCCTCTTCCTCCATCATGTCATCACTTATCCCTCTACCTCTCTTCTGTCCTTCTGCTCCCCCTAACCACAGCTGCCTTCTCTTCTTTCTCATCCCTCCCTTCTTTCTCCTCATCTCTCCATCTGGACCACAAGCCCACACTGGCTTTCTTAGTCCAGCCGCAGTTCAGTTTGCACAGACAATGAAAAATGGATTGACATTTTCTCATTTGCCATAATTCATGCCTAAATAAATAGATTAAAAAAAACCCAGGCTGCCAGTTAGTTCTGGCAAAAGCCTGACAATTGTTTTTCATTCTGACAGCTCATAGGGTTGATACTTTTACAATTTTATAAAAACATTTACAGAACAAATCCAAAAGTGAGTGACAGCAAAGACAGAGATAGAAATGGAGAATGTAGCTGGTAGATGGAAACATCTGCTTTAAGTGAAGATGAAGAAATCAACAAAACATCCATCTTATCCAAAACCTTTAGTGCATTTGATTTGTCGCCTTGTGGCTTCATTTATCCTGGTATTTCTTGTAGTGATTGAAGAGCATGTGACACATTTAATAGTCCTGTTGGTTGAGTTTCTGTTTTGCTTTTATTGCTTGTATAAATCAGTAAACTAAAACTACTAACACTTGCTTTGAATTTACAGCTGTCAATTGACACAAAAAATGAATCAGCAATGAAAGAAGAGTGAAATTTCATTTATTACTCAAACATCACTTGGGAGCCATGGAACATTTAAAGTGCTTTTTGAAGTGTGAGTATTTTTAGCCGTCATCTGTCAAGCTAATAATGCTTGGGGAAGAGCTGTGCTGCACAATCCAATATCATTGCATCCTGTTACCTAGCAACGACGTAAACTACAGATGCCTGGTTGGGACAAACTGTACAAACTATTAGAGCTTTAGCTTTAGATGCTAACACATCCAGAAGGAAGAACACCACATCCAAATCAAATCTGAGTCCTTTGGCTGCTTTTAACCCTCTCCAGATGTTAACCCTGGCTGTTGCTCTTTCTTTGTCCCACTTTCTCTGTGCAAAAAGACACGCAAGACCACAACTTGTTCTATTTTCACTGGATGATGAATAAAAAAAACTTATAATTAATGCACCTTTAATCATTTGACTCAAGAGAAGCCGAGATAAAACAATTAAAAACAGGGGACATCTATTAGAAGTGTAGGAGAGTTAGTGTGAAAAGCCTGAACGCCAGGAGTAGAGCTTCCTCACAGTAACATGGTAGCTACTAACAGCGCTGCTATCACTTTTACCTTCACCCCCACAACTCCTCCCTCACCCCCCTCCCTCTTCCTGCCTCGGTCCTCATCCGTCGTTCTCTTCCTGTCTTTCAAACCTTGTCCTTCCTCGCTCCCTCCTTTCTCTTTTAAAGGAACAAACAAACGAGGGGAGGAAGGAAACTAGAAATCTGTCTCGGAAAAAAACTTTGACGGGGAAAACATTAACTGACTGACCAATCTGTGACATCGGGAACAATGAAGTTAAAGGGTTAATAAATCCCAGTTGTAAACATCAAACAAAAACATGCAAACAGACCTCATGCAAATGTAGCCTGCATTCAAATTATGCTGGCTTAAACTTTACTATCCACTTTGTCTGTTCCTTTATTGTCCCACCAGCAATTCTTTTTCTCATTTAGTAATATGGCTTATTTAACCTTTTTTCCCATATCTGTTGGACTTTCATTTTGCTAATCGACTGCCTGTGAGACAGCTAAACAGAATAAGGTTATGATTTCTTTTTTCCTGATTTGGGGGTTTCTTGGAAATACAGTATGCTCTATCTGTCAGGAGACCACTGCTCTAATTTCAAAAGCCCTATTGTCTTGCTGATATCGCAGTGAGGGGAGGGGAGAGATGCTGCAGGAGGCACATCGACAAATATGTAAAAATACTGAAAAACGCTTCAAATATTTGAGCTACACTACACTCAACTACATTCAGCTGCAGAGGGAGATTGTCTTCCTGCTTTTGCTTTCATGCTTTTCAGTGTTGCACAATAATCACATCAATCAAAACACAAATGTAAGACCTGCCGACCTGAAGCTACCTTGTGTTTCTCTCTCTCTCTGCATCAACATCTGTCTTTCAGTGATTCATCTTTTTGGGTAAACAGTCTAAGAAACACCTGAAATAGAAATATACAGTGCAACAAAACAGCTACAAAGTCCATATCTGTTTGGAGGGTTGTAAACCATTAAAAATAATTTATTTTTAACCTTGTAATTGCAGATGACAACTAAAAACAACAAATGCTAATGGGTTATGAAATGAGACATGCCATTTCAGAAGTTCCTGTCAGTCTGCGTACAGGGAGACATTGTAGGTCTGATTGTACTGTACTTTCCTTTGCTCCAGTTCAAACATGCAAAGCAGTCCATCTGTCTGTCTGTATGTGGGGCACACATACACACACAGTGCTTTAAAGTGAGCTCCATATTAATGCAAACGCGTCCCGCTTGTGTCTGCCTGCCAGCGTGGCTCTTTTATCGCTGTACCAAAGCCTCGTGTAGCGCTAAAAGGTGCTCTCCCGTGAAAACAATGGCTTCCTCCACCCA